ATTTAAAAATTGTCAAAGTTGAAATTTATAATAAAAACATAGTAAGTGGACTCAAACTTTTGGAAGCAACCGTATGTTAAAATTTTAAACTTTGATCCTCTAATTATAATATAGTTTTTGTTTATTTTATGCTTTTTCAATATTTTGCTATATGCTAAGCCTTAGATTACTAAGGTTACAAATAATGTATTTAATATATTACTATAATTATTAATTTAAAGTATTATTGGATTTCTGTTTTATATCTTAAAGAGCAATAAATAACCTTGTTTCATGGCTATAAAGTAGCTTGAATAATGAATACTTAGTAGTATAATTTTAAATAGAATGATAGATAAATAGTGTTGAGTCCAGAAAAATATTACAAATGTCATCCTAATTACATACTGTATATACTGTATTTTTTAAAGTGTTTTAGAGAGTTTTGTTAAATTATTTAGTTAATTCATTTGTTTATAGATAATAAGCATCTAAGAGTTAATAATAAATAGTATTAAGTATTTGCTAATTCATTGACAAAAAGTATTAATTGATTAAATAGAAGAATTTAAAGATATATATGTCAATATATAATATCCTTATATATAAATTTTGCAATAATAGTAACTTTAGTATCTTTAAGAGCTTTTGCTTTAGGCCAATTAATAAAATATTCAGTGATTATAACTATTGATAGGTTCCTAAAGTATTTAAAATATAAATTTTACAAATCACTTATATCCTTTTTTGAGAAATAAAATTTATAACTCTTTACTTTAATAGAAACAAAAGTCTGAAATACTATAAATGTTTTGAATAATAAAAACCAATTGTGATAGTTTTTTTATAGTTATTAATTTAAATAATTTTAATGTTTTTTAGTAAGTAACATCTGATTTTTGTCCTTGTCTTTCCTTTTAGAGACCTATTTTTAGCTAAACCAATATATCAATTACTTTGAGGAGTTATTGACAAAAGTTCAATAATATCAATTTCTATATAGTCAAAAAATTGCTATAGATATAAGGTGAAGTCTTTTATATGATATAAAGGTTTTTTATTACTAACAAGTATCATAACTTTTAACATATTTAGTAATAGTTTTATACTAATTAGATCAATAATATTAACTTTTTACTCGATTATAGATTACCCCAATTTCAAAATATCTAGTAAAAATATTTTTATAAAAATTGTGTAAAATTGATTTCAATTCAATTGCTTTAATAACTTTAAATGATACTAGTAAATTTTTAGTATTGTATTAGAATAGTATATAATATTTAATAAGATAATATGTTACTTATTTTTTGAAAGAGATTATTTTCTTTACTATTAAGTCTAAAGATAGTTTTTCAATAGAGAAATATATATACAATTGTTGATTGGCTTTCAACTCTATGATTAAGATATTTGGGTTAAAAAAAATCTTAATAATATATTAGTATTTTAAAACTTCATATCTTTCTGATATTGAATTTTAAAGAGATAATTTATATTTATAAGTATTTATTATATTGTTTTTTTGTTTGAAGTAAAGTTATTATCTATTTAAGAGCTGAATAGTTTAAGGATAAATTCCTAAGAATATATATATAAAGACAAATTATAAAACTTTGGTTTATATAAATTATTATATATTAATTTTTATGTTTATTCAATTGAGCTAGAACAGCTTTTAATTCTTTATAAAAATATTAATATATAAAAAAAAAATTTAAAAATTTTAAGTAAATCAAGATTGATACAGTAGTTAATTTTTTTTTAAGTTTTTTAAATATTAATTATCATTTTTTATTTCAAATATAAAAAATATTTTTTTCTAAATGCTTGTTCATTGGTTTAGCTATAGTGGTAAAATTTGATATAAAGTAATAGTAATAAGATGCTAATTCAATAAATCCTCTTAGTTCAGTAGTATTGGTTAATATAATAATATTTTTCATCTTTTTTACTTTAGTTCAATCAAATTGAATTTTATATTAATTGCTTATGTGTTTCAAAAATATAAGTTTTTTTTTACAAAAATGGGGTTTTCCAAATTGAGCTTGAAAATAACTTGTCTAAACCTTTGAAAAGCTTTCTTTAAATATTATAAATATTTTTCAAATATAGCAAAGTATATATTGATATTATCCAAGCATATTTGTTCTTAATATTATAACAGATGTAATTTATAAATCATTAAAAAGTAACTGATATATTGATTAATTTAAAAGATATATATTAAATTCAAAAGTCTCTTGTTTAATGATAAAAGTGGTTTTTTTTTTATCTACTGGATTCATTTTAACTTGGCAATATCTATTAATTATATCAAATAAGTAAACTATTTGTCCTTTTTAATGAGTCAAAAATTTTATCAATTTTATATAGTATATAAACATTCTTTTTAATAACTTTATTAAGTTTTTAATAATTAACACTAAATCTTATTTGACTATTTTTCTTTTTGATCAATACAATTGAATAAATTCAGGGATTATAGAATAGTTAAATATTTTTTTTGAGTCAACATGTATTCAATTTTGTTTTTACAAATTTATATTTAACACGAATAAAATTGCTATTTAATTAGTAGGATATTTTTAGTAATAATATGATAAGTAACCAATTCAGTATATTTAGCAGGTGAGTTATCGATACTAAAAAAAAAATTTTTTTAATGGATCGTTTGAATTCTCGCAAGAAATGAATGGTTCCTGTTACTTTTCAATAATAAATTAAGCTCAACAATCACATGCTCAATAATACAAATTAATCATTATTTTTTTAGATACTACTAAAATGTTAGGAAGATAACATTATAATATTCATAAAAAAATCAATTTCATTATTTTTATTAATAATTTCCTTGGTAACGTGTCGCGTAATTTATTTAAATAAAGTGAAGGCATAAATTAAAAAAACATTATTTCAATGATGGGGCGATGATGGATATGACAATTGAGAAACTTGAAAATATGACGTTTTCTTGACCCAATTATTTCATTTTGAATTGTTTTACGTGATTAATAATCATTTTTTTCGAGTCTCTACAAGTTTAGATAAGATATATAAAAATCTTGACAAAATAAGACGAACAACAACTTTTCTTTTGGTGTTATTGACTTCAAGTAAACCATGTCTACAACAAATACCAACGTTCCAGTCGGTAATAGTAACCAAGGAGTTACTGCTGGGCCAGCAACTGGGCCTATGACTAACGCCTCAACTCTTACTCAAGGATCTGCCACGAAACCCAAGTCCGGGACTGCGCCGTCAGTGACTCGTGGTGCAAATCGTGGCGTCAATAGAATTGCAGCCCGCGGTAGGGGTGGTTTCGCAGGTGGCCCGGGAATAATTGAAGTTTCGACTCAGGGAGAAATACTTCACGAAGGCATTCCACAATCCAAAGAGCTTACTCACCTGTCTGAATTAAAAGAAGTGGCTTCGGAACATGTGCACAAAGAAAGTGTCGGTACAACATCTGGTATTCAGAAAGGTGGTGCAGCTAGCCTTGCTCGTGAGTTTCTTTTTGTTTTTACCATTGTTTTCTTCTCGCGTCATCTTTCCTAATACCTTTGTTTGTAGAATCCGCGTTAGGAAAGTATGCAACCGCAATCAGGTGAATAGTGGGATAAGGAAAAATTTTCTTTTTTTTTGGTTTCGATTCAAATTTATTTATTTACTTTGCATAGCGAGGAGACGGGAATTCCGCCATTGTCCGTTCAAGGTATGGTCCCTCCGGCTGAGAAGGTTGATGAAGAGAAATTGGTTAAAGAACTGAAGGTTGGTATTATCGACATTGCTTTGCTATTCACTGTGCATTTTCGTTCACGAAAATTCTCTTTTGACGGAATTAATAGGAAGAAGCTCAAGAGCGTGTTGCCTATGAAGTTTCACATATGGGTCGCGTTCCTCAAGCTGGGCCCGCGCGTAAAGTCGAAGAAGCGGCGAAAAGACTCGAAGAGGTCGTTAATATGAACAAAAGCGAAAGTCAAACTGTATACACTACTCCACCTGTATCACCACCTCTGAGCACAACTGCAGTCTCTAAATCTGGGGCGATACTTCACGAAGGTATCGAACAAGAAATGGAATTTCAGCATCTCTCCGAATTGAAAGAGGTCGCGTCCGAACATGCAAGGCTTGATGCATGCCAAGGAAGAATTCCTCACGGAAGTACTACTTCAACAATACGTAAATATTGCATCCACTCTATTCACGTTTAAGACATACATGCCCGCGTATTCATATTTGATGACTCATTTCCATAGAATCTGCGGGGGGCAATTACGTAACTGCTATCAGGTATACCATTTATACTGTATATCAAAGATCACGCTTATTTTCTTAAAAAGATTCTTCTAAAAAAAATTTTTTTTTTTTTTTTTTTTTATTATTCGCAGCGAGGAAATTGGAGTTAATCCTTCGATCGTTCAAAAAATGGTTCCCAAGGCCGGGTATCATGTCGATGAGTCTAAATTGACGCAGGAAATTAAAGTATTTTTCATAAATCGATTTAAACTAAGAAGTCAATATTCGTAGAAATGATTTGATAATTTAATGTTGACGCCAGGATGAAGCACAAAAACGCAGTGAATATGAAAAGAACAAACTTGGATTCGTACTACCCGCAGGTCCCGCTGCAAAGATCGAAGAAGCGGCGGAAAAATTAATGCAATCGTTGAAAATTAGTGAACCAGAGGTTTCACCGACTCAGGAACATAGCGCCACGGTTCCAGCATCAACTACGCAATCCGGGAATGCGACGTTACAATAAATGACATAATTGATAACACAACACATTATTGGATAAATTTAATTTTTTTTTCGACAAGCTCATTTTTCATGTGTACGCTCTAAAACTCGATGTTTATTCAAGTGTTTTTATGCTTATCTGTTAATTTCTAACAAGGGTGGTGCATAACTGTTTGTTTTGGAATTCTTAAAAATTGATACATAGTGTGAAGATATCGGTAAAAAGGTGACGTGATGTATTATTGAATATGTAGTGGTATTGTTAATGCGAAAGAAAATGCAAAATGCGTGATTTTATGCTCATTGGAAAGAAGAGGAAAATTCGACCGATTGTTTTTTGCGATAAGTGCAATATACATAATAAGAATTAGGTGAGGTGTGAAGATGTTAATAGAGTGCCTATGATGTATAAATTAGTTGTGAAAGTGAATGCGGTTCAGATTATTTGCCAGGAAGGAAATAAAATAAAAACAAAAAAAAAAAAGTACAAAGAAAAAAAAAAAAAAAGATTTTGCCAGAGAATTATAATAAGCGAAATGATATACAAGGTTGGATTGGATGCCATTGACGTTGATTTCTGAATGTACTGTACACTTAAAATAAATTAGAAGGTTGCCAGAATTCTATGATGTTCAAATTATCAAATGTTTCTTGAAAATCGTTTCGGCGTCATTGGATTCCCTTTTATTTGAAGTTTTGGGAACCAATATCTCCAAAGTATTTCGAAGATTCGTAATGTATCCCGTCTCCGCATCTATAAGTTGTATGAGCTCGATGGGGTGTAATGATTCTTTCATTGCAATAAAGTGTAGAGACACGGATTCGCATGTTGAAGGACGAAGTGGCCTGAAATTTAATGAGTAACTGATGAGATTACGCGCGGATACCTTGAAATTTTTGAAAATGGTGTGACGCTGCTTACCCTATTTGAATATTATTATTCAAACAAATGATACCGGCTTCCGGAATTTCTGATTCCAAATGCCTACTAAGAAATTCTTTAGAGCGATATGTGACGCGTACGATTGAAATTAGATTTTGTGCACTGCAAATTTATTAAAGGAAGGTTAATTGAAAAAACTCGAAAACTCACCATTCTCATCCATAAAAGGTTCTATTGGGAGTTTCGCGTTTCGGCGTACCGTTGCACCGTTGTGACTTTTGGTGAAAGAAAAAAATTTAAGTCAATATTTTATCATAACATCATAATGAATTTGACCGACCGTCGGTAAACTCTTTAAGAAATAACTTACGCGTCGTTTCTTCGCTTTTTGTTGTCAGGAACGGTGATGGTGAATTTTCGAGTGAACTTTGACTTATTTACTATGAACACCCGCACCGAGAAAACCTTGCCAACCGCAATTTTAGAACTCGCTGTAATGTTCGCACAAATGAATGAATATGTGAATTTATAAAACTTGCGAGTTCATAATAAGACACCAATGGAACTTACCAGAAAGCGATAGGATGACACCATCATCCACATTCGTCTCCATTGGACGCTTTGTCAAAGGAGTTCTTCCTCCATGAAGAATGCCATTGGTGTTGGATGCAATCTCGCTATGCACCGACGCGTTATCGCACATTGTCGATCCGGTCGTCGACCTCTTCGCACATCCACTCATAATCGCGTGGTAGATGCTTTTCGTGGTTGCAGGCGTTGTGATGCCGGTGGATATAAATGCGGAGCTTCCCGTCGATGAAATTTGGGATGAACCATATCTCGAGCGCAGCGACAACGTCCGTTGACTCGCAGTGCCACAAGGACTCGTCTTGGTGGGAATGGTGGAATCATCACGCTTAAAGAAGCTCGCCAAATCTAACATACAATTCCATTTTGACTCCACGTTACCGATTTTTTCACCCATAAGTATTGGCGTCCCTTCTATTATAATCGAAAGAGGACGTCGGTCATCGTTCCGGAGTGGCGCAGAATGTGTGCTTGAAAAAATCGATGCCACTGAGCTACGTCGAGAGGATGCACACGAGTTTGGCAGAGGAGTGGGATAATATTGTGGGGGTGAGGGTTTGGGTAAAGGTGGCTTTTCAAGTATGGTGATGTGGTAAAGAAATGTAACTTGATCGATCGAATCAAGTGATAATGGGAATCTCTCCTAAAGTTCGCAAGAGGATGAGAATGAGAGTGTTTAAAAAGAATCAGCCGTAGGTAGCGGGAATGTGAACTTACGATTGCCTCATCCTGCGCCAATTCATATCTCGTCACGAAACCGTGGGATACATTGACCTTGATCGATTCAATCAAGAATGAACTTTTTGAATCCATGTTATTATTCTCTACGGAGATTGATATCATCATGGAATTTTCTAGGGGAGAGATGGCGGTGGTTCGCATTCGTACATTTAATGCGGTTTTCACTGGTAGCATCTTGCAACAGGTGCGCTTAGCGAATGAAGTTTCAGGTAATGCACGTGATCGTTTGGGTTCGTTCACCGGAGACGTATGGAAAATCGCGTCCTCGTACTCAAAGTCCGAATCTGGAATGAAATGTTGAGTTCGTAAGAATTGGAGCGAGCAATTGATATTAATAGCGAATTGAGATCTACCGTCATCCAATCCCGCCAACAAGTTTCTTCCGAAATAACGCGTCGAGTACAAATCTATTTCCCTCTTCATTTTCTCCTCGATTTCTATCGACTGCAATGTCACCGTAGCATTTAATGCCAACATTGGACATGCGATACGTGATTTCGAGAACACTGAATAGAAAAGGTTGGAAAGGAACCATGAGTGTTTTGAAACAAGTTCCAAAAGGGTATAGAGATGATTCAATGATACCAACCAATTGGTAAAGACATTGGTATAACGCCCGTCCAGCAATTATTGTGTTCTACGATCGTCACGTGTCGATCCTTCTGATTCGTATTAAATTGAGTGGAATGTATTAATGTTCCTTCGGGCACTTTGGAGGACTTCTTATCGATTACGGAGAAAAAGGTGGGAGATCCGGGCGTTGAAGGGGAGGTGTCCGTGGAACTTGAACTCGACCTGCTCAGCGAAAGACTATAGATTGATTGTGGGGGAACCGATTCAACCAGGGACGCATCAACGTTCACTTCGAGATTCTGAAAAAACGCTTTGGCCACAGACTTATCAAAGCTGTTTAAACCATAGGGCAGACTTAGGATGAGATAAAAATTTAAATTTTCATCTTGTAAAAAGGAAAAAAGGGGAATAGGTTAGAACGAAACGAGGAGGAGGAGAGGAATGGAAAACAAAGGGAAAGATCACACACACCATAAAATGTTTGGGTTCGTGCTTTCGAGGTGAATAGCAACTTTGCATCCTCCTCTGTGAAATTTAGGATACCGTTTGGAACAAGAATGTCCAAGGTGGATCCATTTAGTAGTGTTTCGCGAGAAATCATTATAATCTTCAAAATGTCGAAGAGAAGGTGAAGCAAGGTGGAGGTGGGGATATGATTACAGTGATTAAATAGGATAATTTTATTATTGTACACATAAAATAATTAATATACTGTACATAGTGAGTGCGTACATTTGTGGTACGTTTTTTACCCTTCTCGAATTAATTATTGGAGTTGCATAGATTTTCCAACTAGGACATGGTTTAAGTTTAAAAATAATTACGGCGGGTGTATCACTTGCCCAGATTTACTTTTTTTTAGGGATGCTAGAATTTTCTAAAATAAGTGTAGAGCCACAGTATCAATGACGGTAGTAAATGTTAAATATTCACATAGTGTAATACAGAGAAAAGGCAGACTCAAGGTGTCATGATTATTTCCGTTAGGTTTCTCCGCTCCGTTGAGCATGCACAAGGTAAACTAGCGGGATTAGCAAGATGATGTTATTGCACATCTTTTATTTCTGAATGTGGCTTCGATAAACAAAAACATGTTTGCGCCTCACAGATAATCCTTGTCTGAGCTTGTGAAATTTAATAATAATTCAGTCACCAATTACCCTCGATGTTCATAGAACTCCAATTCTACGTACAGTGCCATATAATATATACGTGTGAAAGATTTGTAATTTATCATGCATAATATTCCCATTAATGATGTATCTTGTAATTTAAACATTTCAAGACTGAATTTTGGACGATCTAGTGATGACAATTGTAGTACCTGTTCTCTCAATTGGGACATTTAGAGAGTTGGTGTCACATACACTTGTATTCCGTGCACGCGAGACGATGTCTCGGCACTTGGCGTGACAAGGATGGAATTTGCTTTGTAGTTAAAAGCTGTGAAATGAATGAAAGGCTCTCCTCTGACGTTCTCCATTGATTCGACGACGAAACCGGGAATGTTCCGGTACCAAGAAGCATGTCACACAAACAAACTAAACGCGTGTCCTATCATAACGAAGCTAGGGGATGTGTTTGAATACCACCCTGTAAGCCGCAAATATTCGAAACAAGGTCTCTTAATCGTGGTTTAGAACGAGCATGAGTTATTTAGCGTGTATCGGTAAACAAAACGCGTATTCTAAAGTTGCGGATATGCAGTTTATGCGCGCTTGTGATTGTGCAGTTTCACTTTCATTATGAACTTTTTACGTACGCAAGGGAAAACGTCGTAAATCTTTCTCATTGAAAATTATAAATACAGTATCTACTATACCGTGCATGAAGTTGCAAAATCCGATTATGGAATTTCCGTATTGTGGTTAATTTCTTCCGCACGTGTATGCGAACATTCAATGACAACAAACGACAGCCAATGGTCATTGATGTGCATATGCAAATAAAAATAATAAAAATAAAGCGCATCCTTTAACATTATGTAATTTCCCGTGACAAATAAACAATTCATAAAATCATGAGTTTCCAAAAATTTGTTACACACGTCATCTGACACATACCAGGAGTTTGAGTTTAAAACATCATTATTATTATTTACATTAAATAACAATGTAACAATAGTTAAATGTGATAATGTGAAGGTGCTTTACGCTAAAGCGTGCCGAGCGTCTTGTCTTGCTTAAATGTCAAAGGGTTTCTTTTTTTATCAAATGTTTACTTTTAAATAATACGGGGACTTTTTTTTTGCACCAACGATATTAATCAATCTGGTAGACGAACTCGTTTTAAAGTCGAAAAGTATTACTTATTAATCTATTTCGGTGTTCACAATTCCGTGTAGAAATATGATGTTCTGAAGACATGTCACCTGCTTAATTTGGTTGATAAAAAATCGCAATTAAAGATTTTAAGGAATATCTGAACGCCCGATGTCGATGACGAAAAAAAGATTCTGGGTCACTTTACACCGTCGAAATTCCTCACGCGATCATTCATCATCACTTTAATAGCAAGATTCCTTTAATGATAAAGTAATAATAATAGAATTATTATTATTACAAACCAAAAATGTTGGACATCACACTATCATCATTAACCTGTGAACGATGCAACATTGCATAAATACTACAAATTAGTAAATCTTTAATAAGTTTTGGAGTCAGACAAACGAAAAGTTGAACTGTCGAACATTTTAATCAACAAACCAATGATTTATTTCAAGCAATGACAATAGAAAAAATATACAACAATAGTATTGTTAATTATTAGATGAATCAGGAAATATTTTTTATAATAAATATATTTTATTTATATTATTTTTTAATTTTTTATGTTTTTTATTTTTTTTGCAAAATAACAAGAAATAACAAATTTTTATAAAAAAAACTTAAAAACTTTTTGTTTAATAAGGATTTAAGTTTTTATTTTATCAAAAACTTTATTAAAAAGTTTTGATATTTATTTGTGTATAATAAATTTATTAATAAATAGATTATTGTTAAATAAATTTTAAGTACAAATACAATATATAGAGTATATGCTTAAGAAAAACAATTCAATTTTTAATTTGTAGATATATTTTTCATATAATCTTTTATTAAATTCAAAAAATATATTTTATTATTAAATCAAATTTCATTTTCTTAAAAAATAATTTGCTATTATTTATATGAATAATTATTTTTGAAAATGAATCAAATTTTTTGGACCTAAAATTGTAATCTCAAAATTATATTTTAAAAATATAATTTAAAATTACAAAATTTTATATTTATTAATTTTATTAATTATAAATATATTACAAAATTTTATATTTATTAATTTTATTAATTATAAATATATTAAAAAATTTTTAAATTTTTAAAAAATATATTATATATAAACTATCAAATAAATTATATCAATATAAATTAAATATAAAGTAAAACACTTGTATAAAAAAAAAATAGTCAAATCCAAAGTCCTAATAATTATTATCTATACTTTAGATTCTACTTTATATTATTATATTATATTTCCATAAAAATAAAAAAATTGGATATATTTTCTACTCAACAAATAATCTTTGTCTATTTCTATTTTTCATTATTTTCGAAATATTTCTATTATTATTTTTATTTTTATTTAATGATATATATTTTGTTTTTCTTTTATCTTTTATAAATTTTATTTTAAATATAGTTTTTTTATAATCTATATTATTAAAAGTACCAAAGATAAAGCATATAATTTTTCGTTAATTTTTAAAAATAATAAATATAAATAAAGATTATTTATCAATAATTTATGAATATATTTTTTAGGTTTTGTTTGAAAATAAATTTTTAAAAAAATAGTATTATAAATTATGCTTTAATTTTAAATTAATTAATTATAGTAATTCTTCAATTATATTAATATTTTATACTGCTTCACCTTTAACAAACCATTTTGATAATATACCAATATGACTATTAACAATATTTTTACTATAATATTCAACAAAATAGTTGAATAAAAATTTTTCATTATAAATAAAAACTAAATAATTAAAAATAAAATGCATTAATTTAGAAGAACAAAAATGAGAGTTTTAATTAAATCAAAAACAAATTTTATTAAATTGTGACATAAATAAATTGAAAAGAAGTTTTTTAATATAATTAGTCACAAATAATGAATCATGATTTAAAATTTTGAAAAATAATCTCAATATTGAGTTTGAATTATATTATTTTTATTTATAAAAAACAACAAATCCTAAAAGTAATATTTGTAATTTTTCATACAAATTTTTTTCTATTTCAATTGAATCACCACTGATTTTAAAATTCTCTTTAAAATCTATAACAATAATACATGATGTAAATGTTATTAATTCAAGAAAATTTTTATATAACTCTTATTATTAAGTTTTAAAATAAAGATGTTTTTTATAAAAATCAATTTTAAATTATATTTAATTAATAATAGAATCATTTTTTCTATTATTTGAATTAATTATTATAATTTAATTTTATTTTTTTCTTTTTAATACAAATTGAACATATATTAATCTTTTTTTGTACTTGTTTAAAATTTTGAGAAAAAGTTTATAAAATTTATTCAAACTCAATTGTAAATTAAAATATTAAATTTTTAATTTATTATAAATTATTTTGGAGGGATTTTCTAAATAATAAATTATAGATAAATTATAATTAATGATAGTATTTTTCAAAAAATAAAAAAGTTTAATAGAAAATCATATAAAAGTTGAAAGTCTAGAATTTTGTAAAAAAAATTCAATAATTAATTCAAAAGTTTCTTTATTAATTTTTAATTTGAAAGGAGAAATGATTCTTTAATAATTCAATCAATTAAATATTTGATTGGCAGTTTTTTTAAAAACAGTATTAAATTTTTTATTACTAAAATTAAAATCAAGATTTTTTAATTTTGATCTACTATATAAATTAACAATTAATAATAAAATATCAAATTTATATTTAGTGAAAACAGAAATATAAATATTTTAATATTATTAAGAATTTATTTAACTTTTAATGCATTTTATATATTAGGAAAAAAGGATTTTTTAATATAGAAATCATTTGAAAAATAAGTATAAAATTGATCTAATTTATTATCAAATAATTATGAAATAATATATGGTTGCTTCCAAAAGTTTGAGTCCACTTACTATGTTTTTATTATAAATTTTAACTTTGATAATTTTTAAATCATTAAC